AACTTGTGAGTGAAAAAATCGGAATGACTGGAACTCACATATACAGGATAAGGATGTTCAAGCCCCATTCGAGTTCTTTGCTTTTCTTGGCGATTTCAGATATTAGTGTTTGTGATCTCCATAGACGAACAGGTCTCTACGTAGGTCTCGTTGGTGATAGTTATGAAAGCTCTTTTGCATTTGTTTAATAAACTACGCAAGGAGTGGTTGATCGAAAATTGCAAACGCTTTCACGAGGAGTGAAGCTCCGACAAACCGCCTGTGGACACAATAAGTTCATATAATTGGTGCAATCCAGCCAACGGCAAGCGTCTCGTATAAGCAGAAAGATTTCAGGAAAGATAGTTGAAAGACGTGAAACAGAGTTGATTTTACAATGGTGTGTGCATCAAATGTGAATCAGCTTAATGTTCAACTGCTGATGCAATTGTACCTGTTTCAATTTGTTTCTTTTGCGGATACATGTGCAGTATCAAACAAAAAGCCTCTTGGGGAGGTCAAAACAACAGGTTAAATAGTTGTCTACTGTTTACTGTTTTGTTACGCAACTAATAACGAAGGAATGAACTAAAGCTACAATTAGTGATAAGTCTCACAAAATGTTAACTTAAATTCGCAAAAGTATTTTCCGTTAGTAAGGATTATTTATTTCCGCATGCATCTGTTATTGTCATGCATAATGCTTCTCATATACTTCGGAGATTTTTTCTCTCAGGCGCGTACAGAGAAACCAGGTACTGTTTATTTATTTTTAATGTCCGCATTCATTCAAGCGCATTTCATAGAAGCAGCACACAGAAGAATCCTTTTTACACTCACTTGGTAAACGTTCCGTCGTCTTTACGGACGGCGACAATACATGCATTCTGGAACCAGCGTCAGGATGTGCAAAATTATCTTGGAATTATTTTGCATGATTACCAATAATTATGCCCCACCTCTAAATATTCGTCCATTAATATAGCTTTCAAAATGTTGGTCGTCTTTCCATATCGATTAATGTACGGCTTGATTTGACAAAGGAAAACCTTCGTTAACCTTTTTATAGTTTTTATGCGACGTGTGAAGAACGTTAACTCGTCTTTTTTAGGGGAACTGGTACTTTGTCCACACACTAACACCAAACAAAACGTGAGCCAAAATGTAGAATATTTAATAAAACGTGTGATCACTCTGATGTATGACACAACACATGGCGGCCAATCGAGGAAAAATGTAAGGGTGGACTTACACCATGCACCTCAAGTTTCATCTTGCCTTCGTCTGAAAGACAGCCCTAAAACTCAATTGATCTCATTTATTTTCTGACTTAACTTTCCTCTGATCACTCTGAGTTATTTTAAAATGGTTCGTTATTTCAGAATAACTTTGTAATGTCTGTGAATCTAAATGCTATGTGAAATGTCGATTCTTGTTTTAGAAAATGACTACTACAAATAAAAAACATCATGTCTTAAGTAAACTCAGATTCTCATGCGACCTACACGATGTCAGTGCAACAGTGGTCGCAAGATCGGGAGACATTACTTACTACGCTGCAGTCACGGAAGTAAAACGTCTCGCATTTTCACAGATGCAGAAGCATTTTCTGCGAAACCTGTCATGTTCGACACCAATACCCAGTCGGTCGTGGCTCGACCGAACAACTGCAGAAATATGCGACTCCACGAACAAGGCATTTGCCGAAACTCTTCATCTAGGATGCATATATTAAGCGTGCTTTAAGGGCACATTCGGCGTTACGCAGACGCTCGAGCGGTTATAACTACTAGTGAACTAGGTTTTGTTGGTGAAGGGAACATTTAAAATTAAAATGCGATGTTCGGAACTGGTTGAATGTTTTTGTTTCATTATTCAAAATACATATTTTTTTGACCAGTGGCAACTTTAAAATATAAGACTGGACTGAAGAATGAATGTTTGATGATTGTATTCTAAGTGGTCATAAGGTATAAAACTTACAGTTACATTCTATTAATCTGGAGAAAAGGCACTTGAATGCAGGTGATAGGAGGCCGTCAATGCATCCGAGACATGATACACTTGAAGATTTATTTTAGGCCGCAGATAACATTATGCGCACCAAATATTTTAATATTTCATAGTCTTTAGTCTATAGGAAATGCTAAGGTTTATAGGGCAAGGTTGTTGATTTATTAAAGAAGTGCACTGTTCGGGCCCATTACGTACGTTTTCATTTTTTCAACGATCGCGCGTCACGTTTTTTGATTGCAGACTTGTAACCCAAATTTCAATTTTCATAAAGGGGAACGCAATCGCCCTTTAACAAATACGTTTATTGCACGGCCTATGCAGCAGTCAGTGGAAACGACTTCAATGACCCATCAAATGCCCTTAAACTCGGAAGGCATCATCAGCGGTAAATAACACATTTTAATTTGTCGAAGAGCGATCAACGCGCCGATAGAAGCCGAGTTCCATGAAGGAGTTTAGAACAAAGTGTTTCGTTTGCTGAACAAGAAACCTTTTGGTGTAGCACATCAGATTGCCACTCACACACATCGCCACTTCCATTCGGAGTAGGGTGTAGAATAGGCTTAATAGGTTCACTAAATATAGAACGCATTAACTAGACAACCACAAGCCTGCAATGATTACCAGCACTCGTGCTTTTTGCTGGGATTATATTAGAGGCGATAATTGCTTGTCTGTCCGTATCAGAGTTGTTTTTTTTTCGGTATTTCGAAACCATTGTTAATTTTTGGCGCGTCGCTGGTTGGTGATTTGGCTTAGTGTTACCGAAAATGTTGATCTCCGGCGCCACTTCTAAGGGCCTAAGTAATTTGCTCAGATAGAAACATACCACAGAATACGAAGCCGGGGTGCAATTCCACCTGTTAATTGGAAGTTGGCCATGAAACCATGACTCATGCAGTTCGCGGTCCACGCGGTCGAAACCTTTTGCAAGAATTGCAGCCCCGTCAAACTTGCAGGTATGGCCGGGTGCCGTAGAAAGAGCCGAGATCCTGGAGATTGCGGCATTCCTCCTCACCGCTGCTGCATGTTGGGACACTGACGCTAGGAGTAATCTTCCCCGGGGTTTGCCCGTCTCATGACCCGAAGACTGCTGGTTGCTTACGGTCTGTGCGCATCTGAACCTCTCGACGCAGCTACACATGCACCTGCAGACGGACAAATTACACGTCTCGATGGAGGGAAGAAAAACCAGCTTATATTGCTCGGTGTCCTCGTCTGCGGCTAAGATTACGGTGTCGAGATTACCAAAGAGATCCAGCAAGACAATGGAGAGGGTAGGGAATGAAGTATTCCTGTATAATTATTTAATTTACCGTGGAAGCTAAGATAGTAAGTTAGTTGATTACGTTTCGACGCTCAGCATAGGTCATTGTCACATGACAGAGCACAATGCATTTACGCACCAATAACCCTCCGTCGCACTCCTGCCGCCCACAGAGCTCTTATATTTCTATCTCACGCCGGTCTCCTTAAATTTGTGAGAAATATTTATGTGCGACCACCGTACTCGGAGATTCAGAATCAAACGTTTTTGGGGTTTCATGCTGAGGCCAATGTCAAAACGCAACGAACATAAAAGGGCAACGATAGGGCGTCTGCCAAAAGTGCTGTCGTACGCTGCCATTTAGCTAAGAAAGATATCGTGGTAATTAAAAAATAAACAAAAACAACTTCTTAAAAAGCAAAGGATTTTTAATAAACAGCCTAAGATAAGTTTACAGTTAGTCAGGAATGGAAAGACACTTTAAACACACGACGACAGTTCAACAATCGATTTCGATGATGTCCACCGTATGCCCCACAGCAGGTGGGAGCAGGGACGGTGACTTGCGCTGGGGTTTATAGTGCCGGTAGACTTGCGCTGCATCTACCTACACTCTCTCCTCCTCCCCCGCCTGAACCCGATGTCAAGAGAGAGTCAAGAAGACCGGAGACGAGGGAGGCCGCAGGTGGATGGCTCGGACGGATCCTCACCTAGGCGTTCTACCCCACCTCTGGTCCACACAACAAATGACCAGGATTTTCGCCAACACAACAGAGATTTGGAGGCTGGCACGGCCGAAGCCGCACCTAGGCGTGCCGCCGACACCTGGCTCGGATCCCACACTGTGGTGGGAATGCCATAAAGGCCACATTAAAAAGGAGCCATTGCAGCCTGACTCTCAGACCGCCTCCAATCAAGGAGGAGGTCCAAGTTACCCCGTCAGTTGGCAACCTTCCAAGCCACGGCTTTTAGCGCACCGTGATAGCTCAAAAGCGTCAGATTGATTATAGTGAGGAGAAAGTGCGCTGAGTCGTCGACCTCACTCTCCCTTCCCATTCCCACACCCCAGCCGCTGTCCGAGCCGGTCAGCAGACTGGAGTGGGGAATGGGCGCGGTGGCTGGCATGGTCGACTGACCATGCCTGCGCGCGCCACAGCACGACCTGGCCCCCCATACACACACAAACACCAGGATTTCACACAACGGGGGTAGAACGGCGTTTCTCTCACTTGCGTGAGAGGGCCGTGGAGGGTGCTGTTTCAGCCCGTCCCCAGCCCACCAGTCCGCCACTCCACACAACACACACACACAACGCGACGAACTGCGGGGACCGAGTGGTGCGTCAATCAGCAACTTTCCTATCCACGACACTTGACGTGTCGGGATAGTCTCGGACTCAAGTCACCCGTGCAGCCGAAGCCGCATGGGGACCGAGTCGAGATGCATACTTCCCACTTGCGTGGAAGGTGGAAGTTGGTGCATGCGGTGGGTGAGTGTTGATGTGTGGTGGTGATGGTGGAGTGAGATAGGGAGTGTGTGGATGTGTGGTTTGACCGGCGGTTGTCTACCGCAGGTCTTCGTGGATGCGCATGTGAACGAATAGGCCCATGCGGTGCCTGAAGGTGCGAGGATAGTGTGGGTAGTTGAGACGAGCTTGGGGAGTGTAGGTTGGTGCTCCACGCACTGGTTCTCCAGTCTCGGTGCGATGGATTCGCTAGTGACCGACCAGGCCGATGTGTTAGGTGAATGTGCGTGGGCAGTGTGGGCACGAGAGGTCGGCGGCGTCGGTGTCGGCTACAGAGGAAGCGGTGGTGGTGGTGATGAGCGAGCAGGGCGATGGAGCGAGGCTGGGGCTGGGCATGGTGGATGTGTTAGATGTATTTGGTGTTTCGGACTTGTGGTCAATCCCGCTCACGTGGATGCGCATGTGGCCGAATAGACCCATCCGATGCGCGAAGGTGCGAGGGCAGTGTGGGCAGTGGAGGCGAGTGCGGTGGGTGTAGGTTGGTGCTCCTGACACCGGTCCGCCAGCCTCTGTACGATGGATTCTCAAGTGACCGACCAGGCCGATGCGTGAAGTGAAGGTGCGATCGCAGTGAGGACAGGCGTAGTCCTGGTCCTCACCTCTTGTGACGGAGGTTGCAGGGGTTGTGCCTGTTGTTGTTTCAGGTATGTCTGTGGTGATGTCGTGCGCGACAGACGCCGGAGTGGCCGTTGTTGTGGCGGTGAAGGAGGAAGAGGAGGAGGAAGTCGAGGAGTAAGGGGTGGTAAAGAAGGTGGCGTCGATGTCGGTTTCGGAGAGGGTGGTCGGTGCACAAGGTGATGATTTGGGATTGGGGTCTGGCGGGGTGGGTGTCTCGAGGCTGCGGTCAATTCCGCTCTTGTGGATGCGCATGTGACCGAATAGACCCATGCGATGAGTGAAGGTGCGAGGGCAGTGTGGGCAGTGGAGGCGAGTGCGGTGGGTGTAGGTTGGTGCTCCAGGCACTGGCTCGCCAGTCTTTGTGCGATGGATTCTCAAGTGACCGACCAGGCCGACGCGTGAGGTGAACGTGCGATCGCAGTGAGGGCAGGTGTAGTCCTGGTCCTCATCAGTGGTATCGGGAGAGGTGGGAGAGGCGATGTCGGTTGTTGTGTTGGGGTTGGTGATGTGTGAGACAGCAGTCTGAACGACCGCCGCTGGGGCAGTGGAGAGGGAAGAGGACGACGAGGATGGAAGTGGTGGTGCAGGAGGAGTGTCAGAGTTAGTTGGCGGCAGAGAGGACGAGGAAGAGGCGGGCGGGGAGACGATGGCTGGAGCAGTTCGAGAGGTGCAGTTGATCCGAAGATGTCCAACAAGTCCGATTCGTGCCCGGAAAGTCCGGTGGCATCGAGGACACGTAGGGAGAGGTTGTGCGGCGGCGTTGCGTACACGGCGAAGTTGTGATTTGCGGGCTTCGCGTTTCATTTTGGCGGCAGCGATGCTGTTGACTTCATAGATAGCAGTGCCCGTCTTCACTGTTCTCCTCGATGTCGGACAACTGCGGTCGAGCTCTTTCCCAGTTCGTCGGGTTGATTTGCAGGCGCTTCAGTGAGAACTTCAGGGTATCCTTGTAACGGCGAATTTGGCCTGCTTGACGACGAGAACCCGTCGCGACGTCTCCGTAGAAGAGTCGTTTGGGTAGTCGCTCGTCGTCCATGCGAACAAGGTGTCCGCTTCAGCGCAGCTGCATTTGTCTCAAGATGAAGTAGATGATGAGCATTCCCGTTCGTTCCAGCACATCAGTGTCGGGGATGCGATCCTGCCTGTTCAGCCTCAGGATGCGACGAAGACAACTGAGGTGGAAGTGGTTCAGTCGGCGTGCCTGCCTCGTGTACACCGTCCAGGTCTCTGCTCCGTACAGTAGCTTCGGCAGGATGACGGCCTTGTACATCTTCAGCTTCGTGTTCACTTGAAGGCCGTAACGATTGCAAACTGTGCTTTGGAGACGACCGAAGGCTTGACTGGCTTTCGAGATCGTGTTGGCGACTTCATCATCGATCTTGGTGTTGCGGGAGAGATAACTGCCCAGGAACGGGAAGTTCTCCACCACTTTCATTTGGGTCCCATTTACGTTGCTTTGCGGCGGCGCTTTGGGGACTGTGGCTGAGTTTGTTGGCGGTTGATGCATCACCACCGTCTTCAGCGTGTTAATGACTAGACCGAAGTTCTCGCAGGCGGCAGAGCTCAGGTCCACGCTCCGTTGCATCTCCTCTTCCGAGATGGTGTTCAGGGCGCAGTCAGCGGCGAAGAGGAGTTCGTGAACGGTGGTTGTAGATACGCGCGATTGGAAGTGCATCCGTCGTTGATTCAGGAGGTGACCGTCCGTCCTGTAGGCGATGCGTATTCCAGGGAGTTCATCAGCATGGCAGAGAACATAAGACTAAAGAGGGTAGGCGCCAGCAGGCATCCCTGCTTCACTCCGTTGGTCACTGCGAATGCCTCTGACACAGCTCCGTTGTCCGTGACTCGCGCCATCATACCGTCGTGCAGCTAACGTACCATCTGAGTGAATCGTTCCGGACAGCCGAATTCCTGCATGATCTTCCACAGTCCTTCACGATTCACTGTGTTCGGCAGAAGGCCCAGTTCCAGGCGGTTATTGAGGCAGTTGAGAAGGATGCGAGCGAAGATCTTCCCAGCTATGTTCAGTAAGTAGATGTCACGGCGATTGTAGCAGAGTTGGCAGTTGCCCTTTGGTTTGTAGAGATGCACGATGGTTGCGTCCTTGAAATCTTGCGGGACTTCACATGGACGCCACATCTCCTGGAAGAGCGCAGTCAGGTGATCCATGAGTTGGGAACCTCCATGCTTGTAGACCTCAGCAGGGATCGCGTCCGATCCGCGTGCTTTCCCGCTGGAGAGCTGCTGCACGGCCCTGATGGTTTCCTGGAGAGATGGCGGAAGGTCGAGGTGCGCGTTGGTCTCCACTTGCGGCAAACGCTCAATGGCGGCGTCGGAGATGGCGGAGGGGCGGTTGAGGACGCCTCGGAAATGCTCGGCCCATCGCTGCCGGATTTGCGTCTTCTCAGTCAGAAGAGTGCTGCCGTCGGCGCTGAGGAGAAGAGCAGTGCCCTTCGTCGGCGGACCGTAGACAGCTTTGATTGCGGAGAAGAAGTTCTTCCATTCGTTGCGGTCCGCGTAGCGTTGGATCTCCTCAGCTTTTGGGGGAGTCCAGGCGTCCTGCATCTCGCGCAGTCTTTGCTGAAGTTGGCGGCGACAGCGGTAGAAAGCAGCTTTTTTGTCCTCGGTGGAGTGATCTACGTTGGCTTTGGTTAGGCGGTTGTTCTCAGCAAGCTGTTTTCTGATGGTGGCATCATTTTCGTCAACCAAGTCCTGGTGTTGGCGGGGAGCGCGATCGAGGACGGCGAGCGCCGTCACCTGGACCGTGTCTCGCAGTTAACACCTGCGATTTTCCACAGAAGCGTTCTCGGCAGCGGCGGCGTCGGCAGAGATTGGAAGGTTGTGTAGCCGTTGAGCTAACTCATGGCTGAAATGAAGATGGTGAGCGGGCAAAGAAAACAAGCCAACATTTAGCATACCTGGGGGTCGTTTTCCTTGTGGTCTCCTGCAAGGCTGTAGGCGAATTCGCATCTTCGAAATGAGGAGGCGATGGTCGGTCCAACCGTCAGCACCCACGATCGCCTTCGTCACCAGCACGTCACGCTGATCTCGCCTCCGGACGAGGACATAGTCCAGCAGGTGCCACAAACGCGACCGAGGATGCCTCCAGGTGGCCTCCTCTCGCTCCGGCAGACAGAAGAACGTGTTCGTCAGGATGAGACGGTGTTCTGCGCAGGTGCGGAGCAGTAGCAGTCCATTGTCGTTTGAGCCGCGTAGACCGTGGGTACCCAGCACTCCTCTCCAGGCAGTATGTTCGGTGCCGATGCGGGCGTTGAAGTCAGCAAAGACAATCAACTTGTCCGCCTTCGACACAGTCACCAGGAGGGTGTGCAGGTCCTCGTAGAATTTTTCTCTTGCGGCGGCGTCGGGGCATCTCATCGGCGGAGCGGAGGCGCTGATGATGGTGGCGAATTGGCCCCCACCCCGAAGAGGCAGACGGAGGCTCATCAGGCGATCGTTGATGCCCTGCGGCAGACTGGGCAGTCTTCCCACGATGTCGTTCCGGATGGCGAAGGCGACACCCGCGTCTCGTCGCTCTGCCTTGGGCCGACCACTCCAGACGAAGGTGTAACCGGCAACCGCCTACTCGAGTTGGCCTTGTTCGGAGAATCGAGTCTCGCTGATTGCGGTGATGTCCACATAGTATCGCGCCAGTTCTTGTGCCACTAACATTGTCCTCCGTTCCGGTCGGTTGCTCCTCGGATTGTTTAAAAGGGAACGAACATTCCAGGCTGGCAGAGTGAGCGGACTCACCCTGGCAGTCGGGTGACAACGAGTGGGGCGACGGAAAGGAGATGTAGAAGAAGGTTACGAAGGAGAAGTATAGGCAGAAGAATATGCAGAGGAGGAGGAAGAAGAGGTAGGATGTGGAGAATGAGTATGGTTGTTGTTATTGTTGTTGGTGTTGTTATTGGTATTGTTGTTGTTTCGACTTTGATTGTTTCGAATATGTTTGGACGTCTTCGGCCCTGGCTAGCCTGTAGACGGCGTGGCGCCCAGCAATGTTTAGGCCACCTTTTCTGGGTCCTTCCCCTCTTGGGGTCTGGCAATGCCACTCCTGAATAGGGCTGCCATGTGCCGTTGTGGCACGGCCGAACTCCGCTATGGAGCCACGACTTTATGTTCGTAGTGAGGAGCGACTCGAATTCGCCGTAAGCCGCGGTCTCCGACGGCGAAGGTGGGCGCGTCAAGGCGATGTCGGTGTGGAGATCCATCCCGTCACCGGCTGTTCAGCGGCGTGCAGAGACGAACCACGTCACAACGGTGCCGACGCAAGGTTCCATCCGACCTTCAATCCAGCGGAATCCGTAAACCCTGTGCACACTTCACAGCGCACAGGGCCCCACTCACCTGGTTTAGCCCGCCGGTCGAGACGGTTGGCCGGGGTGTGGCCGCTGAGAAGAGCCCAGCTGCGTGGAGCCACATATTAGAGTTGAGTGCCAGCAAGGGAACGCTAGGCGTAGTCTCACCTGCAAGCAAGTGAGCGACCGCCACGACCATCACGATGTCCTCTGTCCCACTGTAATTTTAGGGCGTCCTATCATTATTCATAAAGGCATTGCAGTTTGGCGTCAGTTACATGGATCAGCTCCTCAGAAACACACCGCCACATTGATAAAATGCTGTTGTTTGACAAAACAGAGTGACTTAACTAGCAAAATTCGCGTTTTATGGATTTCGTGAGGTTAAACTAGCATTGCAGCTTATCGTGAGCTGCTATTAGACAATAAATATCTTGTAACGAACTGCGTACCTACATCGTGTCAGTAGCATAACCGATAAGAAAGAATTTCTAGGAGCCTCTCGGAGAGGTTTTGCTATTTGGAGCATTTACCCTTAGGCCGACCATCTTCACAGCCGTTCGCGCATCGGCAAAACCCAAAAGTTACGGAGAATAATTCGACGTGGATATGTTGCCTCCCTCTGGAGGTGATGATGATGACGACAATGAAACGACAGCAGATGTGGAGGAGCACATGGAAGGAGAGAAAAAGGATTGCCGTTACAAGCGAAAATGCGAGTTCCAGGAACTAGTTGATCAGAAGAAGAAGAAGCGATGGCTGGAACAATGGCTTTATTCGCCTGACGTTTCGGATTCTCTCTTGAATCCATCCTCAGAGACAGTTGCAGAAAAGGGTGGCTAATGTACAGGAAGTCGCAGTATTTATAGGATGCGGTCGCCATGCTACCGCATACCTACAGCAATTAACCGTGCTTCCTTCATCAATGATTGTTGCCCGCTGGTGCGCTAATCGCTTGATGGCCGGCATGCAAGTTGTTAATTGCTGACATCTCATCACCCGTGTTGGATGCTGGCGTGATGATTGCTCGGTCATCTGGCTCACCGGCTTGCGCGCTCCTCGAGTGGTCAATTGATTTGGCCAGGCTATGCGTCAGGACAGAATATGGAGTGGGGATGTCGTTGCACTTATTGATAGACTGCTGTCCCGTGAACCATGACTCAAGCAACTGGCGGCTCACGCGATTATCCCCTCTCGCGAGAATTTCGGCCTCATCCAACTTGACTGTGTGGCCGGGTATCGTCAAATAGGCCGCGATCTGAGAGTTGGCGTCATTTCTCCGTACAGCTGCCACGTGTTCGGCGATTCGCGTCCGGAGCAGTCTTCCAGTTTCTCCGACGTAGTTGCTTTGTCCGCAAGTGCACCAGATACGGTAAAAGACTCCACATGATTCTTGCAGTGGCAGTGAGTATTTGGTCTCATCACTTGACGCCTCATGGTGGCCTCCGGTCTGTGCGCAACCCAACCCAAATGGTGCAATAAGGCGACTAACGGCCTCGGAGCGCCCTCCTTGTGCACCTTTGGAATACCATAGAATCGGGCCAATTTCATCATTTGGGTTTGGAGTTGCGCACAGACCGGAGGCCACCATGAGGCGTCAAGTGATGAGACCAAAAGACCCACTGCCACTGCAAGAAACATGTGGAGTCTTTTACCGGATCGGGTGCAGTCGCGGACAAAGCAACTACGTAGGAGAAACCGGAGGACTGCTCCGGACGCGAATCGCCGAACAAGTGGCAGCTGTACGGAGAAATGACACCAACTCTCAGGTCGCGGCACATTCGACGATACCCGGCCACACAGTCCAGTTCCATGAGGCCGAAATTCTTGCGAGATGGGATAATCGCATGAGCCGCGATTTGCTTGAGTCATGGTTTACGTGACCTCAGTCTATCAATAAGTGCAACGACATCCCCACTCCATATTCTGTCCTGAGGCAGAGACTGGCCAAAGCAATTGACCACTCGAGGAGCGCGCAAGCCGGTGAGCCAGATGGCCGAGCAATCATCACGCCAACATCCAACACGGGTGATGAGATGTCAGCAATTAACAACTTGCATGTCGACCATCAAGCAATTAGCGCACCAGCGGACAACAATCCTTGATGAAGGAAGCACGGTTAATTGCTGTAGGTATGCGGTAGCATGGTGACCGCAGCCTATAAATACTGCGACTTCCTGTACACTAGCCACCCTTTTCTGCAACTGTCTCTGATGATGGATTCAAGAGAGAATCCGAAACGTCAGGCGAATAAAGCCATTGTTCCAGCCATTGCTTCTTCTTATGTACAGGGAAAAGGATTTCGACATCGAAAAAAGTAGAAAACGAAAGATCTCATGACGATAAATGTATGCTATTGCACGACCTTGTGTAGGTCAAATAATCTGTCTTTGTAGTAACTTATCTTTTCCGCTGTGCGATACCATCTCGCAAGTTTTTGCAGACATTTCCGTGCTTTCTCTCCACCATTCATGACTTTTCTTTTTCAGCTCTGTCGTCGCGTGTTTTGCGGCATACTAGCCTCTGGGACCTTTATTTCCCTACCTGCGTTTGCAATATGCCTCCCTATATAGAACAATCCTGTTTATGGCTGCATTCTCATATTTCCATAGGTGGATGGATGATTTGCGGGCGTTTTGTCTGTGTGCTTTGCGAGTAACCGTTTCCTCGTGGGACGGTGATTGATCCTTCGTCGGGTTGACATTCTGGTTGTCCTTCTTCCTCGTCGTGTAGACTCGCCGTCCGCCCGTCTTTATATTGCTTTTGGTGATGACGCAGCGTCAAGTCAAGCGGTGATGAAAGTTGGTCCAGGATCTAATAAATTCAAACGGCCCTTCTGCGCATGCCATACGAGACGTCGTCTTCATTGAATGCGTTATGCTTCCGTATAGGTGACTCGTATCAACACAAAGGCAAATGCGCAATAAAGGCCACAATTAAAAGTAGCCATTGAGCCTGATTCCATCCGCAGCTCACTCCAAAATACTCAGAGGGCCTTCCAGGGCATTATTATTTCTTTCTCGTGGTAGTTTCATATACGGCAGATCTAATGTATTGAGGAATGCGTTAGCGTACCAAGCGGACATATTGTAAATTTCAGTCTCATTCTTAATTTATGCGCTGTTGACTGCTCAAACTGTATTAACCTGTTCATGCTTTAGCAGCTCACTAAAAGTGCAAGAGGACAGACACATACAGCTGTTTTACGGTCGTTACCGACCGTCAGTACGTCATAAGTCATATGCCGACATCAGTAAACCAGCCCCCGTACGATGGATTCGCAGCTGACCAAACCATTTGGATGCTTGAGGTGAAGGTGCGATCGCAATGAGGACAGCACGTGGTCGAGTTCGAATTGGCGGTGGTGCGTGACGGTGATGGCGATTGGTGGTGGATTGGACGTCAAGCGTGTTTTCACTCGTGGGGACAGTATGAGAGGTGGTTGTGGTCGTCGCCGTTGCGCGGACTGTGAAAGGAATGACAAACGTGTTGATTGGCGATGTCAGCGGGGGCGGCGGGGCATCAGGAGCCCGAGAAACGATGTAAGTGGTAGAGTTTATCGCCGTCTCGGACGTCGTGGGGGTTGATATGGTGGTGACGATGGAAGTAATTGGATTTGTTGAGTTGCAGTCGCATGGGGTCCAGAAACGTCGGACAAAAGCAACGCGTGCGAGAAATGCCTCGTTGATCGGGTTGGCATGTTACAGGGGTTCGCTGTTTACTTTATGGGTTGAAGTAGCTTGAGGGTTCCGAATCGGTTTTTCGACTCTGGGAGCGGCTGTCTGGCTGATTTCGTAG